CAGGCAAGTTAAATTTCCAGCATGAATGGTTTCATTTTCAGTGATTGCAGTGAAGGATGATTCTTGCTGTGCATATTTATCCAGTCATTGATCAATAAAGATGTAGTTTGAACTAGCAAGAATTGTTGTCTTACAGGGTTTGCTACCCAGACTTTGCTGTGTGTTGTAGTGTTTGAGAAACCTAATGCCTTAATTGCGAGAAGTTCTGTAAAGTATTTTCTGTGTTCATGCTAGAATGAATTGGAAAGAGTAAGTAGCATGTAAGTAGGAAAAAAAAAATCAGTTTTAAGAAAAGCTTTTGTGTGTCATGAAAGCTTTTCTACCTGACAGTGCAAATGTTTTTAATTCTAAAGAAAAAGATTTAGTTAGAGCTTCTGATATTTAAGGTACAATATAATGTATTTAAGACATGGTGAGTGAGAACTACTTTGTGAACTTACTGAAGAATCTCATTTACAGTAGCATGCATAGTTTGTAAATTAGTTATGTATTTTAACTAATTTGCACTCCTTTTCTGTATTTCTGGAGAGGAGCAAACTTACTTGTTAACAGAGATTATTGACCTAGAGTGTGGTAAATACTAAACTAGGATTTATGAAACATGATAGTCTGTGAGAACGTTTGTCAAGCTCAGACACGTAGTGATACTCCACACAGACAATGAAAATCTGCTTTTACCAGAAGGCATGTCTTACATATTTAATAATATGGTTCTGAGCACGTTCGTATATGAAACAGTGAAAAACACTAGGAATAGGAAGTTGTAAAGTTACACCTAAATGGAGTGAAATGGCCCAAGAATGCCAGTCCCTGTTGTTAACGTTGAGTTGTATCTGTACCTTATGTCAGAATAAAATGACTGAGTTACTGGTGACTATGCTGTCTATGCTGCAAATCTGCAGGGTAAAGGGTTTTGCTGGCAGTTTAGTGGGACATCTTCTTTCTGCCTAATTCTGCATTGGTGCCTGAAATTCCAAACAGCAAGAGAGCAGGAGTTGTGTTATTTTACATCCATAACCTCCGCCTCCAAAAGTATGTGTAGCTGTGTCTCACGAAACATAACTTGTCTAATATGCAGATATGCAGATAACCTATGCAAAATCAGCATGAAGGAAAAGTTTTTGGGAAGGAGGTCTTGGGGT